ACAGTATTTTCAATTTTTCTCCAAACATGACACAGCTTCATTCAAATAAAAGATTTATATCATCATTTTCAAAACCTGTAGAAATCTAAGCCTCTCACCTGATGGAATGAAAGGAACTGAATTTACTTTCCCACCTGAAACTATGGAAAAGAAATACAGAGAAAATATATAAAACGATGATATACAAAACTGCAAAAAACAAGCAATCATGCACAGTGATCCTGAGATATGAGAAACAAATGAGATAAACTATGATTGCCTCAACTTACTGCACTGAAAGAGGTTCCTGGACACAGCAGAGGAAAAAAGTACATAAGCAGAGCCAGAGAATCTCTCTAAGTTGAAGGACATAGCTCAGAGTCCTTGGAGAACAAGTTAGTTGAATTGTGAAGGGCAGAACACTGGAGAGAAGAGAAATGCACAGAAAGAACTATGAAAATATGTAAAGGTTCTCTCTTCAGTATTCAACTACATGAAGCCAAGGGATGAACTGTCTGATAGATTACAAGGATCAGTTTATCTTTTCTACAGAGGTGGTAAAACTGTATATTCTCAGCCAGATTGGAAATGTTTATCTTTTGTAGGACATTGGGGAAATTAATTAGAAGGACCTTGCATCAGTAAGGTGTAATAATTAGCCTTAGACTACATATTCATCTAGTCTTGCCCAACATATCATAAAAGCAAGATCTGAAAAATCAAACTATTTTTAACTTGACTTCACAGAAAAAATTCAAGAATATTTATAGGAGAATAAAAACATCCAACATCAAAGTGCATTTTATAATGTCTACTATCTAATGAAATATTTCTAGCAATACAAAGAAGCTAGATATTGTGATCCACAATGAGAATAAATATTAATTGATCAAAACAAACCCACAAATATTAGATTAGCAGACAGGGAATTAAAACAGTTACTATAACTGTATTTTGCAAAAAATCAGTGGAACTAAATATAGAGTTCATAAATAGATTTACCCAAATGTGGCTAATCAATTTTTTTGTCAAAGATGTGAAAACAGATTAATGGAAAAGTATTAACATTTTCAACAAATGATAAGGAAGTAATTGCATATCTACTTGCAAATATGTAATTTTGGACCTAAATCTATACTTGGTACAAAAATTATCTCAAAATTTACATCAACAGAATGAAGAACCAAAAATATATGATGATTTCAATAGAAGCCAAAAAAGTTGTTTACAATAGCAAAGAGCTGGAACCAACCCAAATACCCATCGATGATAGACTGGATAGGGAAAATGTGGCACATATACACCATGGAATATTATGCAGCCATCAAAAACGATGAGTTTGGGTCCTTTGTAGGGACATGGATGAAGCTGGAAACTATCATCCTCAGCAAACTGACAGAAGAGCAGAAGATCTAACACCGCATGTTCTCACTCATAGGAGGGTGTTGAACAATGAGAACACATGGACACAGGGAGGGGAGCACTACACACTGGGGTCAGTTAGGGGGAAATAGGGGAGGGACGGTGGGGGGTGGGGAGCTGGGGAGAGATAGCAAGGGGAGAAATGCCAGATGTAGGTGATGGGGAGGAAGGCAGCAAATCACACTGCCAGGTGTGTACCTATGCAAAAATTTTGCATGTTCTTCACATGTACCCCAAAACCTAAAATGCAATAAAATAAATAAATGGGGGAAAAAAAGGCATTCAATACTATTCAGTATTTTTTCACGGTAAAAAAAGCAAGAAACTTGATATAAAGGAAATAAACCTCAACAGGATAGAGGCCAAATACAACAAACCCACATCATATTGAAGAATGCAAAACTGAAAGCCTTCCCTGTATCATCTGAAAAAGGACAAGGATGCTCAGTTAACACTTTTATTCAGCATAGTACTAGAAGTCCTAGCTAGAGCAATTAGAAAAAAAGAAAGAAATAGAAGAGCACCCAAATTGGAAAAGAGGAAGTCAAACTATCCTTGCTTGCAGATGATATGATCTTGTATTTAGAAAAACCAAACAACTCCATCAAAAGACTAGTGCAACTTGTATTATTCTGTTCTCAAGTTGCTGACAAAGACATACCCGAGATGGGGTAATTTATAAAGAAAAACAGGTTTAATGGACTCACATTTCCACCTGGCTGGAGAGGCCTCACAATTATGGCAGAAGGCAAAATGGACATCTTACATGGTGGCAGGCAAAAAGACAATGAAAACCAAGTGAAAGGCATTGCCCCTTATAAAACCATCAGATCTCACAACAATTATTCACTGCCATGAGAATGGTATGAGAGAAATTGCTCCCATGATTCAATTATCTCCCACTGAGTTCCTTCCACAGAATGTGGGAATTATGAGAGCTGTAATTCAAGATGAACTTTGGGGACAGAGCCAAACCATATTAGAATTAATAATGAGTTCAATAAAATACAAAAAAAAAGATACAAAATTAACAAAAATCTGCAGTGTTTGTATAGGCTAACAATGAGCAATATGAAAAGGAAACCAAGAAAACAATCCCATTTGTGGTAGCTACAAATAAAACAATACATAGGAATAAACTTCACTTAAGAAGTTTATTAGCTCTTAGGATATCTCACTTAAAGTGAAAGATCTGTACAATGAAAACTATAAAATATTGATGAAAGAAATTGAAAAGGACACAAAAAAATTGAAATATGTATTAAAGAATCAACATTTTAAATTAAAGATTTATAATTATTAAGTCTTACTACTCAAGGAAATCTATAGATTCAATATTATTTCTATTAAAATACCAATGACATTCTTCACAAAAATACAAAAAACAAATGCTAAAATTAGTATGAAACCACAAATGACCCAGAATAGCCAAAGCAATCCTGAGCAAAAATAACAAAGATGGAGGCATCACATTACCTTACCTCAAATTACACTACAAAGCTCTATTAACCAAAATAGCATGGCACTACCATAAAAACAGACATAGACCAATGGAATAGAGTAGAGAACACAGAAATAAATACATTTATGGTCAATTCATTTTTGACAAAGTCCCTAATAATATACATTGGGGAAAGGACAGTCTCTTCTACAAATGGTGCTGGGGAAGCTGAATGTGCATATGCAGAAGAATGAAACTAGATCCCCCTCTATCCCCATAAACAAAAATTAAATCAAAATTGATTAAATATTTAAATGTAAGCCCTGAAACTAGCAAATCACTAGAAGAAAACACTGGGGAAATGTTTCAGGACATTGGTCTGAGCAAATATTTTTTTTGCGTAAGTTCTCTAAAGCACAACCAAAGAAAAAATTGACAAAAGAGATCACATGAATTTAAACACTTCTGCACAGCCAAGGACACAATCAAAAAATGAAGAGATTACCTATAGAATGGGACAGAACATTTGCAAACTGTTCAACTAGGTCACAGATTAATAACCAGAATATGTAAAAAACTTAAACAACTCAAGAGCAAGAGATAAAATAACTAACCAAATTTTAAAATGGACAAAAGATCTTGTGGGCGATGGAAGATCCGCTGGGGAGTCTTGGCCAGCAAAAGGGTCCCGACCTGAAAGAGGAGGTGTGCAGAAATAAAGAGAGACAAAAAAGCTGGGGTCGGGAGGACTGAAAAGGCAATGCCTAAACAGAGAATTTATTTTTGTCCAGGGTCTCAATATAAACCTTAAGATCAAAGGTGTTTAGGTGTTTATACAATCAACAATGGAAAGTTACAAAATATAAGATCACAAAAACAATCTTAAGCATGACATTCAAGGATCATAAAAGTGGGCAGGTGGTATGCTTTATCTGTTTTTACCAAAACACGCTTTTGTAAATAACAATACCTAAGAGTCACAAAGTAAGCCATAAAGTCATTATCTAGGGTTCAAGGTAGTCATGGGGATAAGGTTAAGCTTCTTGAAAAACAAGGTCGTAAAAGTCAGCAGAGGCCTAATGGAGACATAACGTCTGACAAAACCACACGACACTTGCCCAAGCGTCATTGCAGTCAGAAGTAGAAACCTTTGCAACATCAGTCATTTCTCAGTTCCTTCTTTCCCATAGCTCGACTGCCTCCAGCAGGAAACTGTGTTTGGGCTCAAGCTCACCGTCTGGTGAGGCCCACACATTAGGGGGGCCTCTCATGGGAGCATTCCCCACAGATCTTAACAGACATTTCTCAAAGGAACATACACAAATGGCCAACAGATACACAAAAAAATGTTCAACATTACTAATCATCAGATAAATGCAAATGAAAACCACAATGAGTTGCTATCTCACACTAGTTAAATAGCTTTTATCAAATAGACAAAAAATAATAATAATGGATGCAGATGAAGATAGGGAGAAAGGGACAATTTGGACAATGTTTGTGGAATATAAATTTGTAAATTTGTACAACTACTACGGAAAAGAATATGGAATTTCCTCAAAAAATTGAAACAAAACTACCATAAATCCATCAATCCTACTGTTGGGTATGTATCCAAAAGAAAGTAAATCAGTATATCAAAGAGCTATCTGTTTTCTTATGTTTAGTGCAGCAGTATTAACACTAGTTAAGATATGGAATTAACCTCAGTGTCTATCAATGCATGAATGCATTTAAAAATGTAGTATATATACACAATGAAATATTATTCAGCCATTAAAAAGGAATAAAATCCTGTAATTTGCAATGTCATCTATAGAAGTGGAAGACATTACATTAAGTGAAATAAGCCAAGCATAGAAAGACAAATATCACATGTTCTCACTCATATGTGGGAGCTTTAAAAAAATGATCTCATGAGGGTAGAGAGTGGAATGGTGGGTAGCAGAGGCTGGGATGAATAGCATGAGAGGAGAATAAAGACAATCAGTTAATGGGTACAAAATGCAATTAGATGTAAGCAATAAAATCTAGTGCGACCCATCCTGCTTCTGCTTGCCCTTTGTGGGCTGTGCCCACTGCCTAACCAGTCCTAATGAGATGAATAGGGTACCTCAGTTGAAAATGCAGAAATCACCCACCTTCTGTGTTGGTCTCACCGGGAGCTGCAGACCGGAGCTGTTTCGATTCAGCCATCTTGCCATGAGGCCCTATTTTAAAATTCTTAATGATTGTCTGTAGGCTTTCACTTAACAAATAACAGAAATGTGCTATAAGAGTATTACTCAAGTAATATGCTCCCATTAGTGGTTTATAAAGTCAATTTATGTGTTCATAGACAGGGAGAAAAAAAATAGAATAAAGATTAGTGTATTGCCCATGAAAAGATACTTGTTTCATGAACTAATTTTGGTTTTGAATATAAATTCATCTATGTACTAAGATGCAATAAAAAATATATCTCAATATTAATCATAGTTTAAAAGTGTGATAGACTATAGTTATAAATCTAAGAAATAAGTTTTTTACTTATTAAAGCTATAAAAAAAGTTATTTACTAACTTATTTTTTGATTTCCATTTAGTCCTCTTCTATTGTGATGTGTGAAAATTATTTTAAAAACAGACTTATAAAATGGAATTCAGATAAGATGATTCATATGAACTTTTCTACCTCATTATTACTTATGTTAGAAAATTAGTCAAAATTATCTTTTTGAAAAGGGATCAGAGAAAAATTAATCTCTACAGAGATAATAGTATTTCCTGATATTTTTCTGAGCAATGGCTCCAAGACCAGTCAAACAATTCTGAGAAGACCAAAGGATGATAAAGACATCTTAAAGGCATCCTTGTTTTACAACTAAAACGTGTGGCACATACCTCAGAGAGATTTTTCTTAGTTTTCTTACTTAGATTTAACTATCTACTAAGGTTTTCAATCCAAAATAGAAAAATCCAGATCAATTAATACAAATGACAAAAATGTTCCTTGTTTTGTGTGCAATTTCTTCTAAAAAAGTAACAAAAATTTACTATAAAATTTTAAAATTTAAAACTAATTAGAATAAAATAAGCCCAATAGCAAAATAATTACTTTAAAATTATAAAAGCAACATTTCTAAAATTAGATACAAAAACTGCAGAAAAGGATAAGGAAGAAAACATTTAAAAACGATTATTTTACTAATGAAAATATTTCACTTTTAATAAATTCATTAAATTGAGGGTAGAGAATCTCTACTCTTCCTTAAGTAAATATTCAAATATTTCTGTCCTTGCATAAGTAGACTTTCAATATGCCAAGGTGAAAAAGGTCAGGGGCCAAGATCCTAGAACTCTTTTTTAGATTGAATCAAAACTGTATAAATCAAAGCAAAGTGTATGTTTGTGGTATTTAGGGCTGCTTAATCAGAGACTTGGACTGACCACAGAGGTCCTAGCTGAGGAAGTAGAAGAGATTGTTAGAGCTATCACATGGGGTAATGCTATGAAGACTCAGGATGAGGGCTAGGCCTCAGTATATCTCTCTGCAGAGGATCACAGGCACAGACAGTGAAATCTGAAACTGATCATGACTTTCCCACAGAGATTAGAGAGAAGCAGTGAAGAGAAAGGTGAGTAGATTTACAAGCTGCCTGGGTGGGATGCTGTCACTTAGGGAAGACAAGAATGAAGTATTCCTGCCAATGGCAGCTGGATTAGCAACTGTGAAGTACACTAAGCAAACACTTCATACCACAGGATTTCTCCCAGGGGTGAATACAAGGCTTACAACAAGTACTACAAGTGTTCTTCATAAGACTCACAGGTTTGGAGATCATTGACAGCCTGACAACTATCAGGAGAGTTTAGTGGCCCCCAGGGAAGTCTGATGGAGAGAATGGATGGGCCTGCGTGGTGGCATTTTACTCTGAAGTTATGTTTTCCCCTGCACTCTGCTTCACAGAGGAGTCCTGGCCTTTGGGATGTGCTATGATTCATCCTTTGGGATCTTAAACTCTACCTAGATTCAAGTCATGTGCAAAGACAAAATAAAAGTGTCAACTGATACAACTCTGTTCAGAACAGGAGCTTTATCTGACCACTGGGACAGGACATAGTCAAAGACACACAATACAAAAATATGGGATTGGTGAGAGGCCAGAGCAGTACTCCATCAATCAGCATGCAAATAATGTTTTATGATATTATTGATTAATTCTATAATTATATACTTACATAAAATGTGGAATATACTTATGTAGACTACGAAATATAAGAATACTTATATGGAATAATGGTTATAAGAAAGGACTCTGGAGTTATAAAAATCTAGGCTCCAAGTCTGTTTTTGTTCTTTTAACTTATTTACTTGGTAATTTTTCTGAATGCTATTAAATTATTTATAAAAATGGCAAAATATCTACCTCACAGTGTTGCTTCCAGAATTTAATAATGTATGTAACAGTGGTTTGCACAAAATATATATGTGTATACTCATTAAATTGCCTCTATTAAAACTAATAATAGAAGAAAAAATATTACAATTGTGGGAATAAACAGTAAGATTCATAGAATTCAATATAGATGAAATGCAGAAGCTAGCTGGTCTAAAATCTTGACTGGTTTATGAATGCCAGAACCTATTATTACAGAGATACTAAATAGTTGATTTGATTTAATCACATTTAAAACCAAAGTAAATGTATAGGTGATCAAGTGCCATGTACCAATGCTAATACAGATGTTGCCATTCAGATGGTCTGAAAAGTAATTTGTAATAGCCTTTAAGTAGTTACTTAATGTAGCCTCCTAAATGTCTAAATCAATACCAGGGTGTGCAGCTACTTACTTGTCCAGGGATATGTGATTCTTTATCTATCTATCTATCTATCTATCTATCTATCTATCTATCTACATATCTATCTATAGATTGGTTTATTATTTGCAGTGTGTGTTTCTTCAGTGTAGCAGGAAGAACATATTTGTGACATCAGCACAAGTAATCACAATTATCAGGTACCTTGAATTACCATATTTTTGGTGTTCAATTCACATTATGTAAATGACCTGATCATTTAAAATGATTTCAAAACTATGCTACAGGGCTGCAGTAACCAAAATAGCATGGTATTGGTACAAAAACAGACATACAGACCAATGGAACAGAATAGAAACCTCAAAAATAAGACCACACATCTATAACAATTTGATCTTTAACAAATCTACAAAAACAAGCAATGGGGAAAGAATTCTCTATTTAATAATTGGTTCTGAGAAAACTGGCTAGCTATATGCAGAAAACTGAAACTGGACGCTTCCCTTACACCTTACACAAAAATTAACTAAAGATGAATTAAAGACTTAAATGCAAAACCCAAAACTATTAAAACTCTAGAATAATACCTAAGCAACACCATTCATGACATAGACAAGGGTAAACATTTTATGATGAAATTTCCAATTGAAGCAAAAACTAACATTGGCAAATAGGATCTAAGTAAACTAAAGAACGTCTACACAGCAAAGCAAACCATCATGGAAGAGAAACAGGCAACCTCAGAATGGGAGAAAATTTTTGCAATCTACCCATCTGACAAAGGAATAATATCCAGAATTTACAAGGACCTTAAACAAATGTACAAAAAAAAAAAAAAAAAAAAAAAAAAAAAAAAAAAAAAAAAAAAAAAAAAAAAAACAACTTCATCAAAAAGTGGGCAAAGGATATGAATGGACACTTCTCAAAAGAAGACATTTATGTGGCCAAGAAACGTATGAAAAAAAGTTCAACATCACTGATAGTTAGAGAAATGCAAATCAAAAACACAATGAGATACCATCTCATGACAGTCAGAATGGCTATTATTAAAAAGTCAAGAAACAATAGGTTTTGTGAGGCTGTGGAGAAATAGGAACACATTATGTATGTATATATGTATGTATGCATGTATGTATTGAGATGGAGTCTCATTCTGTCTCCCAGGCTGGAGTGCAGTGGTGCAATCTCAGCTTACTGCAACCTCTGCCTACCAGGTTCAAGCAATTTTCCTACCTCAGCCTCCTGAGTAGCTGGGATTACAGGTGTGCACCACCACACCCAGCTAATTTTTGTATTTTTAGTAGAGATGGGATTTTATCACATTGGCCAGACTGGTCTCGAACTCCTGACCTCAGGTAATCTGCCCACTTCAGTCTTCCAAAGTTCTGGGACTACAGGTATGAACCATTATGCCTGGCCTAGGAACACTTTTAGAATGTTGGTGGGAATGTAAATTAGTTCAATCATTCTGGAAGACACTGGGGTGATTCCTCAAGGATCTAGAACCAGAAATGTCTTTGACTTAGCAATCCAATTACTGGGTATATACTCAAATGAATATAAATCATTCTGTTATAAAGATACATGCACACATATGTTTATTGCAGCACTATTCACAATAGGAAAGACGTGGAACCAACCCAAATGTTCATTAATGATAGACTGGATAAAGAAAATGTGGTACATATACACCATAGAATACTATACAGCCATAAAAAAGAATGAGATCATGTCCTTTGCAGGGACATGGATTAAGCTGGAAGCCATTATCCTCAGAAAACTAACACAGGAACTGAAAACCAAACACCACATGTTCTCACTCATAAGTGGGGGTTGAACAATGAGAACACCTGCATACAGATCGACACAGGGAGGGGAAAAACACACACCAGGGCCTTTCAGGGTTCGGGGGTGAGAAGAAGGAGAGCATCAACACAAATAACTAATGCATGTGGGGCTTAAAAACCTAAGTGACAGGTTGATAGGTGTGGCAAACCACAATGGCACATGTATACCTATTTAACATTACATGTTATGCACATGTATCCTGGAACTTAAAGTAGCCAATAATAATAATAACAATAATAATAATAATAATAATAATGAGGTCATTTAAAAAGTAATAAGTCCAAAGTGAGAGAGATTTCATGGTAGGTATAGCAACTCAGTCCTATAAAAGGTGTTGTGGATAAAAAATTATTCTTGTAATTCATGAATTCCTGTAATGCATGGATTGCTTTATTCATTGCAATCCATGAGATCGCTAGTGCTGTGTGTTTTGATGCCATGAAGGAACTGCATCGCTTCCAAGGTCACAAGTATTTCTTAAAATCCAGTGATACCATAAGATGAGTTCCAAACATTCCTATACTCTGGATACGTATTCCCAAAGCTTGAGATCACTCACAGGAGGAGACTAAGATTAAGGCGTTTAAGGAGGATAGAAAA